TCTAGACAAGGTAGTCAGACCAAAGAAATAAAAGGCATCTACATTGGGAAGAAACAACTAAAACTACCTCTATTTCCAAATGATATGATTTTTGTATATGGAAAATTCTAAGAAGTCTACCAAAAAACAATTAGCACGAATAGATGAGTTTAGAAGATTGCAGGATACAAGATCAATATTTTAATACCTGTTATATTTCTATACACTAGCAAGAACAATTTAAAAATGAAATTATAAACACAATTGCAATTCATTCACATCATCAAAAAATAAAATACTTAAGAATTTTAAAAGTGCAAAATTTGTACATTGAATACTAAAAACTATAGTTACAAAACTAAATATATAGTTATATTTAGGTAAACACCTAAATAAATGAAAAGACACCTCATGTTCATGGATCAGAAGACTTTGATAAGATAGCAATACTCCTCTAATTGATCAACAGACTTAACCCAATTCTGTAAAAATCCCAGCAACCTTTTCTTGTGGAATTCAACGGCAGATCCTAAAATTTGTATGGAAATGCATGGGACTCAGATAACTAACTAAAACAATCTTGAAGAGCAAAGCTGTAGGTCTCATGTTCCTCAATTTCTTTTTTTTAAATTTTTTAATTTTTTAATTTTAAAGATGTAGGGTACCATTCAGGATTAGGTATACAAGTGATCATCATACAGGTCTCGCTGCTGTCAATCCCTTTCTTATTGTATTATGGTAAATGTTCAGGGTCCACTTATGAGTAAGAACATGTGGTACTCAGGTCTTTGTTTCTATGATAGATTATTGAGTATGATAGACTCTAAATCTATCCGAGTTGCTGCAAAGTTCATAATTTTGTTCTTCTTTATGGCTGCATAATATTCCAAGTATATGTACCACATTTTTTTTATCCAGTCCAGTTTTGATGGGCAGCACGGTTGGCTCAAAACTTACTACAAAACTAAAGTAATCAAGACAATATGGTACAGACATAAAGATATATATCAATACAAAGAACATATATCTTAATGCAATAGAATTGAGAGTTCAAAAAGAAACTCAACCCTTGCATGTATGGTCAGTTGGCTTTCAATAAGGGTTCCAAGACCATTCAATGTGGAAAAACACAGTCTAGTCCTTTCAACAAATGGTGCTGAAAAAACTGATATTCATTTGCAAAAGAATGAAATTTGGTTTTTATATCATATCATATACAAAAATTAACTGAAAATGAGCCAGAGACATAAATGTAAACACTGAAACCATAATATACTTAGATAAAAAAAAAAACACAGGAGTATACTTTGTGACCTTGTATTAGGCAGTGGTTTTCTAGATACAACATCAAAAACAAAAGAAAAGTTAGTAAATTGAACTTCATCAAAATTAAAATCTTTGTGCTTCGAAGGGCACCATCAAGTGATGATCTATAAAATGGGAGAAAATATCTGCAAATCACACATCTATTAAGGGCCTATTGCCCAGAATATATTAAGAAATCTTATAATGCAGCAATAGCCGATTTAAAATAAGCAAAGAATTTGAATAGACATTTTTCTAAAGAACATGTGCAAATGGCCAATAAGCACATGAATAGACATCATTAGTTATTAGGGAAATACAGCTCAAAACCACAGTGAGGTACTGTTTCACTCTCACTAAGGAAGCTGTAATCAAAAAGAGGGATGATAGCAAGTGTTGGTAAGGATATGAAAAAAATTAGAACATGCATACATTGCTGGTGGGAATGTAAAATGTAGCTTCTTTGCAAAACAATCTGACAGCTTCTCAAAAACTTGAAGACAGGGTTACCACATGACCCAGCAAACCCCTTTCTAGGTGTATACCTAAGAAAATCGAAAATATATGTCCACCAGAAGCTTGTACATGAATGCTCATAGCAGCATTAGCCAAAGGTGGAAACAACCCAAATGTCCTAGACTGATGAATGGATAAGCAAGGTGGTACATGCATACAATGAATGATTACTTCATCATAAAAAGTAAGAGAGTGAGACGTGCCACAATATGGAGTACAGTGGCTCACACCTGTACTCCCAGCACTTTGGGAGGTGGAGGCGAAAGGATTGCCTGAGCTCAGGGGTTTGAGACCAGCCTGAACAACATGGTGAGACCTTGCCTCTATAATAAATTATAAAATTAGCTGGGCATGGTGGGCGCGTGCCTGTAGTTCCAGTTACTTGGAAGGCTAAGGTGGATCGCCTGAGCCCAGTAGGCCGAAGCTGCGGTGGCTGTGAGTGTGCTACTACCCTCCAGCCTGGACGGCAGAGTAAGACTCTAACTAAAAAAAATAAAATAAAATAAAATAAAAATCGTGCTAACTAAAAGAAAACAGACACAAAAGACCACATATCGTGTGACTGCATTTATATAAAATGTCCAGGAGGGAGATGCACACAAAATAGATTGGTAGTTGCTAGGGTGAGGGGGAGAGAAATGACTAATGGATATAGGGTTTTGGGGGGGTGATGAAAATGTTCGGCAATTGGATAGTAGTGGTGGTTACACAGTTCTATCTATTATCTATCTTTCTGTCTATGTAGTATCTAAACATTAGATAATTTAAAAGGATAAATTTCATGGTATGTGAATTATATCTCAATTAAAAGGATTTAAGAAAATATTTATTGAGCATCTACTGAGCGCCATGCACTAGTAAGGTGCTGAGTTGGCTACCATGTTCTAAGTCCCTTCTCTTGTGGAGATGACCTTCTAGTCTGAGGATAAAACAGACAATAATGGTTAAACAAGAGATATAGAATATGCTAAGAAGAAAAGTGTAGAATATGCTGAGAAGAAGCAGGGTAAAGGGCAGAGTAGTAGGTGTGTGTGCTGTTTTAGATAAGATGGTCAGGAAAGCCTTGCTCAGGTAAGAAAGACCTGAGATGCGAAGGGAGTGAGTCAGTGGAGCTCTGAAGAAAATGCATTTCAGGCGAGGGAACAGCAGTGAGGCTGGAGTATTTCTGGGGAGGAGGCCAGTGTGACTGCAGAAAAATGAATGTATCATGTATGGTGAGTGAAGAAAAGGGGTAAGATAAGAAAAGGGGTGTGTGTGTGTTTGTGTGTGTGGGTGTATGTGTATGTGTGTGCACATGCGTGCATGTGTGTAGTGGGCCGGCAATAGTGGGGATGATTATGTAGGGCATTATAGGCTGATGATAAGAACTTTGGGTTCGATTTTGGATTTTGCCTTGAATGAAATGGGAAGTCATTGGATGGCTCTGAGCAGAGGATGGGCGTAATCTGATTTAGTGCTTGGTGAAATCCCTCTAGCTGCTGTAGGAAGAGCAGGTGGTAAAGGACAAAAGTAGGAGTGGGATTGTCACCAGTTAGGAGACAGAAGAGGTGGGGGTCACTTAGACCATGGGAATAAAGTGGAGATTTCAAGAAGTGGTCAGTTTCTGGATATGTTTTGAGGGGATGCCTCTAAATCTCCTCTTGATCAAGAGGATCAGCTGGGCTTGGTGGATTAGCCAGCTCGTGGCTCAGCCGGGCTCAGTGGCTCAGCCTGTAATCCCGTGCCTGGGAGCGGCCACTGCACTCCAGTCTGGGCAACAGAGTGAGACTCCAACTCAAAAAAAAAAAAAGGAGTCCCTGGATCAAGTAACAGAACTGTGTGATAGCTGAACAAAAACCAGTCCTTCCTTTTAGAAGGTGTGTTTCAGAAGATATGAAAGGAGAATGGAGACAAGCTGTGACTCACACTCGTGTGTTAATACTTTCTGAGTCTATCATGCCCTCCCCCGCTGACCTATTGAACATTTATGTTCTTTTCCAAAATAAGAGGGTCTCAGTATCTCTTTGTACTGGAGACTCCTCCCTTTAAAGTCCCACCTCCCCTTTCTTCTCGTTGTATAAGTCAGGTGGAATTCTTCTCAGGTGCCTTGTTCCCCTTAAGAGCTGGAGAGATTCACAGGGTGTTGGTGGGAAAATCTAACTTTCCTTAGTAAGCCTTTGCCTATTGCAATTCCTGTTTCTCCAAGCAGTGCTCTTCCGCCAGGCACCTGTTGTGAAGTTTCTCCTTGTGACTCTGAGGCCATGAACAATCCCTGCCATTTATGGTGTCTGGTAACAACTTCTCTGGTTCCTGACATATTTTCCTTCCTACCCCCATGAAGTCCTCTTCCAGCAGTTTCTAAAAACATACACTGGTTCACAATGTCTTCACTGACTTCCTCTCCCTATGGAGAGATCAGGCCTTTAAAACTCAATAAAATCTGGGGCTGCAAAGTCTGGCTTAAAAGTTAATTTCCAATGGGAGTTTCATAAACAGTCTCAGACTTCTTCAATTTAGTGAATTCATATGACAGGGCACAAGTGAACAGTTGGTTCTAAATGGTGTATTCTCCCTAGAACTGTGACACTTCTCATCCTGGAGTGGTCTCCACATTTAGTTCCAAGGCAGTGATTTAATCTGAGGAGCAGCTGAAAGCTGGGTCTTGGACTGCTGTCCCTGAGTGTTTCTCTCATAGGGCTGAACAGCCTCGGGTTCCATCTCAGAGAAAGGATCGAACCTACAAAGAAAGCCAAAACAAGCAGACAGAAAACACTGTAAGCCTGATATCTAAAAGAAATAAATAGAAAATTAAATCTTTATTGAAGCATATGCTAAAACACCAAAGGAGGGTCACTAAGACATAGAGTAAAACTCAAAACTCCTCTTTCCCTCTAAATACCTATGATAGCCTTGTAGCCGCCTCTCCCACCATCAGTTTTGTTCCTTATTATCTCCAAAGATCCCCAAACTCCCTAAAAGCCCACGCTGGGGTCTGTTGTATGCTCTCTCCCTGCCCTACCTTCCCAGGTGGCGTCACCAGGTCTCTGTTCCATGTATTTCTCTGATCCGCACAACCAAAGGCCAGGTCTGTTTGAACAGCATCCTTCTTAGGGATGATAGAGGAAGGGAGGAAGGTTGTAACCATTCAGAAATTTTGTTTTTATCCTAATCCTGCTATAAAATGTATGTTTCATCATTGTGAACCGTCTCCTGTGTTACAGAATGTAGAACTATCTCAATGGGGCAGGGACAGGAAGTACATGCCCGAAAGCTGATTCACATGTCCATGCAGCAGGTACGTGGCAAGACAACTATTCCTGCTGCAGCGTTGTTGCTGGGAACACCGCTGTGATGGGTGACACTTTCTTCCCGTGATGCTAAATCCTTAGTTTTCATTTCTGTTTATGTATCTATAGTCAACCTGGATTCCCTGTGAATTTTAAACCTCAATCTAGTTTCTTCCTGACATTCCCATGAAAAGCATATTCCATTTTCCATGATGTGTGCTCATTTTATTTTCACTAATTTTTGTTTGTTTGTTTTACAATTTGGAAGAAGCCCTCTGGTTCCTAAGAATGCAGCTCTGGCAGTCTTGGAATTTCATGATCAATATTAATAGATGGTAGTTAAGAAGTGACAGATTGGGACAGTTAAATTTCAATTTTCAGTTAAAGGCAGGCTTTCATTTTTCATTAATGGATAGTTTCATGCAAATAAGGAGTAGCTGAGGATATTGTGTTTAAAAATTGATAACGGTTGTTACTGAAAATTGCAAGCTGAATAAAATGGTGAAAAAATATTTCCCATCAGAGCTAATAAATACACAGGACATTAATTTTCTAGAAATGCTCTGTAGATAGACAGCTATAATAAGAAATTGTACCATTTATTAAAATAAAATAAGATCTTGGTTTATTTTTAAGCTTTTGATCTCATAATGCCTGTATAAACTTGAGTGCAGCTTTTCCCTCGGAATTAATGACTAGAGAGGGTTAATGGACTAAAACTGCTTGGGTCATCAAATTTTCAAACTAGTCATTAATTCTCAAGTGCCTGAAGTCTTAATCTTTATCACTTAATTAAATTCAATAATATATATAATTTATATATATATCAAAGTAATTATATAGAATTTTTTTACTTGAATCAAATGTTTCACTCTGTTGAGTGATTTGACAGTTTAACTCTGGGCCTTAAAGAATTTCTTTAGTTTCAATGAATGGGAAACCTTTCAATTTAAATACTGCATTCACATTAACCTTCTCTGGAATATTAGTTTTTATACTTTCAATGCTCTGTTTCTCAAGGTGGGGTTAGTTTTGATAATAATGGCATAATCCAGGGAGAAAAAATGAACACATGCAGTCACATTGCCCCCTTGGGGGACACCAGGTGTCGGATGAAGCTGACATTGTGGAATGCAGAAAAGTGGGAAACCAGAAAGTAACTGGGTTCATGATGACACAAACAAATCCTGAATTCTATCTTGTCCTGAACACCCCAGCTGTATAGACGACATGTCTCCTTTGCAAGTGAAGTCAATCTGAGTTGTATTTTCTCTTACAATTAAGACATGATAAATAAGCCTTCTCATGTATTTATTGTACTCAACGTTCTGTAGCTTTATTTAGCTCAGTATAGCTGATTCCTATGTAAGGGTGTCAAAATGTCTGGTTAAGAACTGTGTTCTCACAGGGAAGTGATAGTTTTGTGACTTACATTGCTAAAGGTAGTTTTATCGAGTATGTATTGAGACAGTGCCTAATAAGTTGTGGAGTTTCAGGAATGTGTGGGAAGAGTGATGATAAAGGATAAGGTTTATTATTATGGCAGCAAAATGTCACCAAATGATTGTCTCCAGCTTTTGTGAGATAGTGTGCATCTTTCTTTATAACTATACATGACCATGAACCAGTCTTCTTGGTTTTAGGGTGAGTCAGTTCTGATTTACCTTAGGTAAGAGGACTTAAGTTACAAATTCCAAAATATACCCATTCCCACCATTAGATGGTGCACACACTGTATTTACACAATCTGTTCTCAGGTTTTAAATTGGTTCCTTTCTGAGCCAGAGGTGGCAGAATACAATCATTTTGAACCCAACTGATTCTAAGTAAGCAGCTTGCACTGCAGAAGAAATGATTGTATTGATGCATAATTTTTTTTTGAAAGCAAGTTTTATTGAGAGGACAGAAAAGCTCCCACAGTGGGAGGGGACTCAAAGGGGTTGTCCAACACATAATTTTTTAAAAATATACTCAAGGCCAGGTGTGGTGGCTCAGGCCTGTAGTCCCAGGACTTTGGGAGGCCGAGGCGAGAGGATTGCTTGAGTTCAGGGTTTTGTGGCCAGCCTGGGCAACTTGGTGAGATCTTGTCTCTACAATAAATCAAAATAATTAGCTGGGCATGGTTCCAGCTATTTGGAAGGCAGAGGCGGAAGGATTGCCTGAGCCCAGCAGGTCGAGGTTGCGGTGGCTGTGAGCGTGCCATGACACTCCAAACTTAATGACAGAATGAGACTCCAACTCAAAAAAAAAAATACTCAAAACAGTATTCACATGGTCTAAGCAAAGGCTTTTTTTTTTTAACTTGTGCATTTTATTTTATTAAACTAGCAAAAAAGTTACAAGAAATAAATATTAACTCATTTTTGGATACAGGGTGGTTGGGTATTACTGCAAAATTGTCACCTTGGCCTGGAGTTCATGGAAGAATTACTAGAGATGCTGATTACCACTGAAGCCAATGCTGATTCTTTCAGAGTGTGGATAACTACCGAGCCCCACGATCGATTTCCAATTACACTGCTTCAGGTTTGTTACTATATGTGTCGTTTCATTGAGAGTTATTTGAATAGAGATGGCATAATTAACATTATTGAAAGATGGAAACACAACAGGGCTGTTTGGTCCAGTAGAGTCTGCACTACAAATTCTTATACTATAATCATGAAAATCTTAGCTATAAACATCAAGGTTAGACTATAATAAGTATTTCCACAGAAGAGTGCTAAGACTCGGTACTAATTTATTGGGTCTGATTGAGGTAATTGGTTTACACGGTGCTGAATGTTAGCCCACATTTTATGTACCATAAGCATATTGTCATCTGATGTACAGGCTGAGCACTCCAAATCCAGAAATCGAAATCTGAAATGCTCTCAAATCCGAAACAGTTTCAGCACCAACGTGATGCTCAAAGGAAATGTTCATCAGAGTATTTCAGAGTTTGGGTTTTCAGATTAGGGGTGTCAGCTGGTGCATACAATGAAATATTTCAAAATCTGAAAATTTCAAAATCTAAACCACTTCTGGCCCCAAACATTTTGGATAAGAAATACTCAACCTGCATCATAGTTTCTATTTTATTCTTTTCAGAAACAAAATGACTGTTTTCTTTTTATGACAGACTTCTCTCAAATTCACTAATGAGCCTCCCCAAGGCGTACGCGCAGGTTTGAAAAGAACATTTGCCGGAATTAATCAAGACCTTCTGGACATCAGCAATTTACCCATGTGGAAGCCAATGCTTTACACAGTAGCTTTTTTACACTCCACTGTGCAGGTAACTTCAGAAAGTAGTAGTCACATCTAGGGGATGGCTGATGATGTGGTGTGACTTTCCGGGCCACTCTGTCTCCTTACTCTAACTTCCAGCATAGCGCTTTCCCCATCAGGGATGACATATATTTGTTTACGTAACTCAGTGTGCCTCTGGTCTCCGCTCCCCACCTCGGCCATTGGCATGAATTCTTCAGGATAAAGACTGTCTTTTTGTAACGGCAGACTCTCCCACTGTCATAACAGTGTCCAGGGCTCAATAAATGTTTGTAGGATAAGCTAATGGATTGTTAAAATAGGAGCTTGGTTTTGAAAGTGCCTATGATGGCCAAGAATTTTATGTGCACCATCTCACGTAATACTAACATCCACATTTCAAGGTAGGATTAGCGCCATCTCAGAGATGCGGAAATTGAGATGCAGAGAGGTTAAGTACACTTCGTGTATAGTGGGTCTGGGACTCCCTAGCTCCGATTTATGTATGCTTTGGCTTTATTTACTATCCAGTAGTAAAAGTGGTGATGTTGGAAGAGGCGGGGTAACAGAAGCAACCTGTCTTCCTCAGGTTGTTTGCTGTTTACCTTCACAGTCTAAGGACTCACATACTTGTCGCAATTTAATATTTTTATGATTACTAAGCAACTTGTCTGTAGGATTTTTAAAATTATTGTTACTGTTTCGTTCTGCCTTTGAATTTTATATTTTGCTCTGTATTTGAAAGCTGTATAATTTCAGTGCACTTAGTTCACTCACTGATTTCACGGAGAATCGAAGGGCCTCATTTAATCCCTTCCTCCATTTCTTCCTTCCCCCAAGCCTGGGGTGAAGGACAAAATGAGTCAGTTGGCATGTCCCAGATGTCATGCTTTCAGCTGTGCCCAGTGGGATGCAGAATTTCACCTCTGTTCTTCCTGCCCTTGCCTAAGGATGGCAGGGAAGGTGAGTTTAATGCTTGCCCCAGAAGACACTGGGTGAATTCATCCCCGCCTCATTACCCCTTACCACTTTCTCAGAGTCCTCCCTGCCCAACAGAGAGGGCTGTGATGTTTGTATCCTGACACTGAGAGAGTTAGAATCGGATTACATACTTTGTTGGTGGTTATTTTTACTAAGTTCCATTGTGGCCTTTGGATCGTTAATTACAGTTTTCAAGTCACTGAAGCCTATTTCATACATTCTTATCTGGGAATTGTTCGCTTTTCTAGACCTTATCACACTCTAATGCAAATATTGCTTTAACTCTGTTATTTCATTCCCAATTCACAAATAATATATTTTATGATTTTGTTTCCAGTAGTGATGATTCAGCCCTTCCACTGGGCTTATCATGGAGAGGTAATTGGGAATATTTTCCGTATGGTTAATGCAGTGACCTATGTTTTTAATGGCCATTATCCAATCCAAATGCTGAAGAAAAGGAGACCAACAGGACCCTGGTCCAGCCACAGACCTAAAGTGTGCTTACTCTTAGCACTACGAGTGTTTAGGTTAAAATGAAGAAAAAAATGGAGTGTCCATGAAAAAAAAAAGGTTGAATATCTCTTAAAATCAAATAGTAGTGTTCTAGAAATAGCACTTTACTGAGAGTCAGGAGGCCTGGACTTTAGTAATTGCTGTGAAATCAGTGAGCCGGGCAAGGCTGATTAAGTTATATCCCTCTCAGGGCCTCTGTTTCCCCGTCTGTGCAGTTAGAGACAGAAGTAGGTAATCTTTCAAGATTTTCCCATTTCTAAGATTCTGTCATCTGGTTCTATGACAATACAGTGAGAGCAAGTAATTCAAGTATATTGTCCCCTGTTCTTTTTTCGTCAATTTCAGAAATGTTTACTCTGATATTTCAAAAGTATTATAGAAATTTCAGCAATATGTTTTAGAACTATCACAGAAATGCTTTCTATGATAGTGCCTATATATATATAATTTTTTTTTCACTTGGTTAAGATAGAGCCAGCTCAGTAGAAAAATCCAGCATTCTTTAGGACTTGTTATCCAGGGCCAGCAGCATCAACATCACTTGGAAACTCAGAGGTGAATCTCAGGTTCCACTCCTTACCTGCTGAATCAGAATCTGCATTGTCCTAAGATGCCCACATGATTTGTTTGCACACGAAAGTTTGAGACACAACTGCTATAGGAAGGAATATTGTGGACCAGATAGATTGTGACATATTTTTTTTTTACTTCTCTAGTGTTGAACATGAGCCAACATCCCAGTTTATTCATTGATCAATTGAGTGTTCCAAATTAACACGGGTATCCCTTGCTTTATACAAATGTAGTATATATACTTTTGTCCTTGCAGAGACTGAAGAAAGAATTAGTCACATAATCTAAAGCTCCAGAACTGGGGATCTAGGTTCATGCTAGTCCACCCCACCTTAGAATGCAGAACCCAGTGGCCTGTAAACAGCCAACATCCAGCCTGCTCCCCACTAAAAAAAAGAGTAACTTCTCTCCCTGAATCCTGATTTGGCATTATGCCATCAGCTCACCCCTGCTCAAGGGTATGATGTGCCGTGTGGATTCTACTTCTGTTGCAGGGGACAAAGTGAGTATCCCTCCTTTCCTAGAAGAAGGGGAGGTTGATTCGGCTAGTCAAGGACAACCTTCTTGGGTAGAAGGAGAGTGCCCTGGGTGCTGCCTGGAGAACTTGCACAGACATACAAGGCAACTTTGCACTAAGCTCTGCTTGCTCTACACTCCCCCTCTTCTCCAGGAACTTATCATCTGCATAGAGCAAAAACAGCCACCATGAGAGGAGATGTTCCTGCAGAAGCAGCCACTCTTACTGCAGTTCAAGGATGTCTCAAGTGACCCTTCTTTCCTTCATGGAGACCTCTTGTTCCTGGGACCCTAGTATATGTCTGAGCTCAGTTTGGCTGCCACTTCAAGAATATGCCACCATCCTCTTAAAGATGACCTACAAGGGAAGCTTCTCTCTGACCTCAATAGTCTCTCTCCATGGTTTCCAGGGAATGCCATTGCAGCAGCATTCTGGGTTTTAGAGCAAGCCCACATTCACCCTTTGGCATTTTAATTTTAAGCACATTTTCCTCCAAAGACTTGGTCTTTTGAAACTTAGTCATTATCTTTTTAATTATCTCTCAACACCTCTTACAGAAGGTCAAAATAACATCCTCTGGTTTTGAGGTTTTTTTTTTTCCTATTGATGGTTAAGGTATACTGCTCTTTGGGGGATGTACAGGTTCTCAGTCAGTGCCTGGGCTTCAGACCAGACCACTGAAGTCAGAATCCCTGAGAAGAGGGGAGAGAGAAATTCAGTCTTTTAAAATCTTCTAAGTGATTCTAATATGCAACAAGTATTGAGAATGATGATCAAACCCTACATCTCTTAAGGGAAGAGTCTTTAGCTATTTTATATCCATGGCTTGGAATCTTTCTTTCCATCACCTTAGTTGGCTCACATTGAGCCTTACATTCCTGATTTTTCTAACAGGTTATACACAACTCTGTGGGGTGTTTTTCCCCCATCAAAGATGTTGATTAGCATCTCTCAGGGTCTGCAATGTCCATTGCAAACTTGGAAATTTTATCATAATTTAACTATTCAATAAAAATGGCCATATCAACAGGGATTAGGGAATTCTTTTTTTTTTTTTTTTTTTTTTG